ATATAATGTTAATTTTTTATTTTTTTAAATGCAATAATAAATTACTATCAATAATGCAATGACAAGTAAAATATTTAACAAATAAATAATAATGTAATAATAAATTTACGTGCTAACCTTATCTTTCAAAGCTTGAATTTCTTGTAACATGATGTTCATCTGTTGTTCATCATAAATATGCATACCAGTTATTCATTTGTGTCTAACATAAAATATTGTAATAAATCTATATTTTTGTGATATAACAAAGTATTCGTTGTTACCTTCATTGAACGAATATGATATATCCACATTTCGAGATTCTTTTCTAATATTTGTAATTCATCGATTGTCATCGTCTTATTTCCTCCTCCAAACAAATACCTAAGAATGATGATAATAGTCATTTAATTTTTCTAGCTATTTTTAGATAACTCGTATAAATTACAAACATACTTAATGATTTAAACTATTATAGAGATAGAGATATCATACAATTACAATTATATATAGAAGAGATTTTTATTTAAAAAATAAACATACGTTATATTTAGTGTTTAGCGTTTTTGAAGGTATAATTGTCTATACCATAAAACTTATAATTAATTAGTTGTCATTACTTCTCCTGTTTCATTATTCCTCTTTGATTTTTCTAGGGGACCGTAAATATGTTTTTTCACCTCATACATACCTGTATTATTCCAAGTACTAACTAGAAATACTTAGATGCTATGTAACCATTTCATTAGTGTTATTTCTCTAGTTAAAATCAAATATACTCTAGAAAAAGCGGAAAATGATTATATTGCACATATAGCATTGTAATATTTTGTTGGAAGAAAAATAATAAAATAAAAAAATATTTGACATTAGGTACCTGATACCCTTTTGCAGTGTTTGGATTTCTTGTTTTAGCTTGTTGGTTTCCTCTTTTGCATCCTATACGATGATTATGGGACAAAATGTGTAGAACGTTGAATAAAATAATATCATCATAATATAATATAGTAATAAATTGTGAATGATTAATACTAACAGCAAAAATAAATACAAAATAGGATATATGATTGATGTAAAAGTTGTTGGCATACGACATACAACACACCACAGATGTATCAATGTTTCACATTAATTATTTTTTCATTACAACATTATATTTTTCTCTTTTTTGCAACATATCTTATATGAGAAATGTAGATTAGTGTTAAAGACGTGTGATTTTATTATTATAAATATGACGTTGAGATGGTATTGACATAAATTATGTTTTACATTTTAATTTTTATATTTATATTATTTGTATATTTTTTGTCTTTATATTTGTACAAATTTTACCTTTTAGTCCTTTTTATTTTGAAATTATTCACTTTAATCCTCATACAAATAATTTTCTTTTATGTTTCAATCTCTACTAATAATTTTTCCTTTCTTTTTCTTCCTCGTCAATCAACACCTTCTCCTATTATTTTGTGAATTCTTTTTCTTTTTCTTACATAAACTTATTCTCGTTGACTTTAGCTTGAAGTTTTGAAGTTACAACAGTTCACACATGTTTCTATTATAAAATAATGTAATATGTGAGTAGTAATTTATGTTAACACTTCTTTTTGCTTGTTGCATTATTTTAATTTTATTACATAAAACACTTGGATATACAATATGTCAGACACTTGTTGCATCATTTTATTCATTTTTTAGTATTTTTACATAAAATGTTTATTTGTGTCACTATTCGATGAACATTTTATTTATTTATTTATTTTGCTTTATTCAATGTTCATCAACTTGCATGTTTTGTTATGTATAGATCCTTTAACATAATTAAAAAAAATGAAATTCACAATGTAAAACTATCAAAATTTGTTTCATGGATGTTAAATCGCCATTTGAAAATAAAATATATTATATCATGCATCACCTCCAAAGGCAACTTTTAGCGTCAATGTGGAATGAAAACTGTGGAAGCATTATGTGATTTAGAGGAGAAAAAGAAATTATTTAAATTAAAACAATGTAACAAGTGTCTTACATGGTAAGGAGTACACAAATCTATCTCATCTTGACTAAAAGATGTATTTGAACTCTACAACTTTGAGATTATGATCTAGTGTCAATGAAAATTAGTTAATATAAGAAGATTTAAAAAAAAAAAAAATAGAAGCTATAAAACAAGGAGAGGGAGAAGGTGTTGATGGAAAAAAAATGGAAACAATAACGAAAAGGAAAGAAGAAAATTAGTTGGAGGAAGATGAGAAATGTGTTGATAAAGACTGAAAAAAAAAAAACAAAAAAACTGCTCTAGCAAGAATTAAAATAATATTTTTTAAATATGAAAGCTAAAAAATAAAATATTTAAGATTATATAATATATAATTAAAAATGTACAAACAGTATAATTATAGAAATTAAAATATAAAGTAGGATAAATATTAATGTCAGTAACACATCAACATCACATTATTCATCATTAACTGCGCTAATTTTTTTTTTTAGCATAAGAAACTAAAAGAGAATTAGAAACGTTTGTATAAACACCAAAACTGATCATTTTTTAGTAAAAGGGAAAAAAAATTCTGTGAAACCATACAAACCAAATCCACTGTTAAACCTATTTTTAAGTTGGAGATATTATAGTCTAGTTGAAATGGTGTAGGACCCGCTCGGTTTCCACTCACCATTTGATATACTTATATAACCCTTAGCTTAATTTGTAAGCGAGCAGTAACTACTCTACATCTTACAAAACACGATATACTAATCCTCTTACAGAATCTAACCCTGCATGTGTCAAAACAAAGTGGAGAGAGAACAAAACATTCGGTGATATTGTACTGATTATATTATTACGAGCAATATTATTATTATTATCATCATCGTGATCATCACAATATCATTATTTTATCATTCAATATGCAGTGATGACAATGCATCATGCTAGCAGCTTCCAAAACCACACATTCTTTTACATATTATAATGACAAGGATAATTATTCCATTTTTCTTTAACAGCACAGATAAATAAAAATTAACTTGCCTTATTTGCTAAGCTATGTTATTATCTTTTAAGTTCAGAAATAGCATAGAGAGAGAGAGAGAGAGAGAGGTTGTGTACCAGAGGATGTGCTTCAGGTGCTGCTTCAGGCTGAGCCCCTGGTGTGAACTTCATGTACCTCTCAATGAGCCCTTGCATGGTTCTTAATATATACCATGCATATAGTGCAGAAAAAACAAAGTAAAAAATCAGAGACCAAAATATATACTAAAGTTTTGAATGAGCAAATTAATATACGTAATGAGAAAGAGAGAGAGACCCTTTGGTGGCTAGTTCATAGAGCTTTCCATGGGCGGAGAAAATGACAAGGCCAATTTCAGCATCGCACAGCACAGAGAGTTCCTTAGCTTTCTTAAGAAGCCCTGCTCGGCGCTTGCAGAAGGTAACTTGTCTGTGCACTGAGTTCTCAATTCGCTTCAGCTGAACCTTTCCACGAGCCATATTGATCAATGTTCAATGATCAATAATACTAATATGACGAGTCTATTTGTGTTTGTGCTTCTATGCACACAACCTCCCACTAGTTTGAACTAGCTTCGAGGTTGCTGCAGGCAGGTACGTAGTACCCTTTTCTCAGAGTCTCTCAACCAATTTTGCTTCAACTTGTGGGATTCGACCCCTTATATAACAACAACCATTATAACATTTCGCCATCACTCATTCAAATATAATAATTGCAACTAGTTTATTATTATATAACAAATGTTACCGGCAACTTTACACCACATTAACTTTTGTTTAGTCTCTTATATTCATCACTTCGTAGTAGTGTGTGGATTCCATTTTATTTCATGATAAATCACATCAAAGCATGTGATACTAAAGGTGATAGAATACGGCTGAAGCCATAGAATATGGTTCATTTTACTAAAATATTTCTGCCAAGCTTTATTCCTGTGTCTTATAATAGGGGTATAGGCTGAACTGTACATATTATATCATGCATCAATGGGGCAAAATAATAGTATTATACAATATATGCTACTCTGTTCTGCACTTGGGAGCTTGCGACTGCTTTTTCCATGTTTCAATACATTAAATTATCATAGAAATATATGGCTTTCCTAGTGGATGCTAATTAAATGCGAGTTGAAACATGTTACAAGTTTATCATTAATAGTCATTGGCTATTAACTCTTAGAAAAGTCTCATTCTTCATTAAAAGTTGTGAGAAATATGACAGTCATCCAATCAGTTCAAGAAACCCAATGAGTAGTAGTATATAATCCCTCTTTCAAAAAAAAAGAATTGTACTTCCACTATACTTGGGTAGCAAGATTGATAGATCCTCTTACATTAAGAGAGAAATATTGGAATCCATATTCTTTTTTAGTTGTTGAGGGAGAAGTTTTTTTATATAGCGCCTATTTAAGTAGAAAAATTGTACTGTTAACACTAACTTATACTGAACAGTGTCGGAATAAAACTAGGAATCGAGTAAAGTAGAAGAAAGCAAATCATGAAACGGCCTTGGGTTTAACTATTATTAAATCATATCAAATCTTGGAACTACTCCCCTGATGATTGGTTGATTTCAATTTTCGTGATCAGATTAGTTATGGTGCCCTTTGCACTGAATGACTGCAGTAAATAGAACGAGGAATCATTTCATATTAATTTCAATATATAAAGTTAAAATCCGAATTTTCTTGCGTGGAATTTCAGTCTAGCCATTCAAACTAAATAATAGTTAAAAATGAAGTTCGAATTTTGTATATGAAAAAAATTAATGAAAATGAAAGATTTCATTAAATATAATTAACCAAATTCTCTGATAGAGATTAATCATTAATGAAACTAATAAATAATTTGTACTAATACTATAGTTGTAAAAAAAAAAAATCTAATGAGTTAATTTAATTTTTAGTCATAATTTACTCCCACGTAAAACAATTTATTTAGTAAAAAATTTCATATTCAATCCCAAAATTATTTAGGATCAACAACAGTTAAGTGAGATTAATTTCTAGTTCAATACATTAAAAATCATGAGGAAAAAAAAACTAAATAATAGAAATGAGGAAAATAGGTTAAACTAAACATGAGAAAGAAATGCTTCTAAAGAAAGCTAGGTATAATGTAATTGACAAAAATTCTTTTTTAATTCTTATTCATTGGTTCTTGCTTCTTAGTTTATAAAGAAAAGAAGTATTACGTTAAAGCACAACAAATTAATGCTAATTAAAGAAAAAATTGTCGTGATAGTGTTTACACTTTATATTCAAGAATAAATATATGCTGATAAGAAATATCATAATAGGAGAAAATGGATAAATATGAATCTAGGAATTTCACTGATAACAGGAAACTTTTACTCTGACAAACCCCAAATAATGAGTATGCCTGCTAGCCACTAGGTGTAGAATAACTCAAACCAAACATATCAGCTTTATACTTGGTTGATGCCACAAGACTTTCATTGTTCTTTTTTGTTTTTCTTCACCTTCGGAGGGGCAATAGTAACACCTGATTCCAAAATATAGAATGCAAATTTGCATCCATAACTTTGAGAACTTCTAGTCAAAGGGAAAGGGGCGTATAAAAGCAGAGTTCAATTGCCAAATCTTGAGCGAGGCCTTGATGTTTATATCCGTTGCATTGTTGAACAGAAACAATCTTGCAGCTCCATATATTGCTTCTGTTGGATAAACTCTAGATGAGATCACAGTTCTCCCTCCCTGAGCAAAGCTCTCAATGATTGAATGGTCAACCTGAATCATTTTGTAAATTTAATGGTCACGTGAATTCACATAATAATGGGTACCAACAAAACCAAGTTTTATCCTACAAGTAAGCATTCCTTTGTGCAGAAACTAAAGTCAGTGGTCAAAATAAAAGCTTCAATGGAACAATTAAGTACTATATATTTCATTCATACTTACCAATACCCTCATTGATAATTTTTCATCACTGAGAACTGGAACTTTGCTTTCAAAAACGAGCTTTGAAACATCTGGTGCCATTGATGACCTACGTTATCCAATAACATTTCATTCTCATGAGATTATATGTCGATGTTTTGTCCTTAATTCAAGTCAGCAAATGAAAACTAGCTAGTACCTTGTTTCATCAACACAGAAGGAAGTGGTTAAAGAGGCATCACTAGTAATACTAGAAAGATGGAAATAAATTGGTGTTAATTCAGAAAGTTGGTCATCTGCAATAGCCAGAATGCCAAATGGTCCCAAAGCACTTCTGTCAACAGCTCCACTTCCACAGCCTACATTGCCCTTGCCAATCCCTTTGGATGCCAAAAATTCGATCTCAAATTCAGCAAATATGTCCAACTGAAATTTTTTCAAGAAATGTATGAGTTCACTATATTCACAACAAAAAGTTAAAATCTAAGTAACTTAATGCCATCAGCAAACCTGTGTGGCTGGACCTATGTCCAGTGGCACGACTGAGCCAGGTTTAACCACAACTTCTTCAAATTCAAAATTGCTTAGTCTTAAGCTGTCTACTTCCTCCACTGGCCACTGCAGCAGATTAGTTCTAGTCTTCTTGTCAAACAACACTGTTCTAGGAATTGTCTGATTTCCATAAAAAAAAAAATGTGGGTGAGAATTCATAACAACCTTAATTAAATCATCATAACCAAATTTTATGACACACGTAAGAATTAAATATCTTGAGTATAAAAATTTTATAATTAAATATTTTTGATAATTTGATAATGATCTCATAACAAATAGTTTAAAAAGAGCAACAATACATTTTAATACCATCTTAAAATATAGATTTATGCCTATTTCAATCCTATAAATTAATTAGTGAGATAAAGATTACTTCTCATTTATATATACTATTTTTGTCTTATCACATATCAATGTGAGATTTCCATCATGATATTTTTGCCAAATTACTATTAGGTCAGTAAACTCTTTGTTAGACTTAACACATCTATCAACTTGCAATTGGTTACACTAAAGTTAACAAGAAAAGTTCATTAACTACACATTGGAGTTATGGACAAGACAATTTAAATTGTTGTGCTTTAAATAAATTCTGTCGAATCAATTAAAGTTGGAATCCAAATCTACCTTTTGATGTCGAGAATCTTGGACCAAAAATAATCAAGTACACTAGATTTATTAAATAATTTCTCCTAACATTATTGGTTATAAGGTGGAAGAAAAATGTTGATACCTGGAGAGATGCCCAACCCTTTTTCAAGTCAGCAGTTTCACTATCTGATTCATTAATCCAACCCCACAGGACCCTTCTCTGTTTCTGTTGGTCATAAAATGTCTTTGACGCATAGTATCTCCCATAGTCCAACTTCAACCCGATACCCACATCCTCGTGCGGGTTGTCGGGCACCCATGTATCATTTTCAACGAAGTAGGTCCCAATTGCATAGTGATCCACCTTAGTGTCATCCAAACTAGCCTTCAATACATGTTTCACTTCAGGCCCATTTACAGATGAGTCCAAACCGTTAGGCCCATTTACCGAAACCGGGAAAAAGTCCACGCACTCCCACATACCCGTACCCGGGACTGCATGCAAATAGTGATCACTGAGCTCGTAGTGGATGAAATCTTTGGTTCTATAAACCAATGAAAGACCCGTCTTGTTGACCTTTGACCCAATAGTGACCCTCCATTTCTCATCCGGCCCAATCCACGCAGTGGTTGGGTCACGAAAATCTTTTGGCCCAATGCCCGGTGGAGGCACCAAGACCGGGTTATCAGCGTATTTGACCCAATCAAGGAGGAGAGGATCAGATAGGTTGGCGGGGTAGGCAAGATTTTGGACCTGCACGTTTTGAGCCGTGTTACCCGTGTAGAGCATTACGATTTTGCCATCTGGCAAAAGGGTGGCTGATCCTGACCATACCCCGTTGATATCATGCCACGTGTCTGGAACCAACGCAATGGGAAGGTAGAGCCAGTGAATCATGTCCCTCGATACAGCGTGGCCCCATGTTATGTTGCCCCACACAGCTGAATCAGGATTGTATTGGTAAAATATATGGTACCACCCACTGTAAAACAATGGACCTGCAACAATTCAACGTATTTAATTAATCTCAATTTAATATGTTATTGACTTTCATATTTATGTTTTAAGTTTCTTATAAAATCATGGACCCATGATAGATTCAGCTGAAAACAACGTGTTAGGCATTAATATAGTTTGTTTATCTTTTCATTGAAACTTCGAAGTTTTATCCTTTGACATTAACGTTGCCCAATTCAGAGTTATATAATAAAATTCAAATTTCATTATTTTAATCATAAAAATGAAAGCATAACTTGTCAAGAATCAAGATTTTTTATTCACGATGGATTTCAAGCTTCCGAATTTGACGGTAACAAAGAAACAGTGAATGAAATGATCACGGTTTTAGTTACGTTAATAAATTGAATTTTATCAATGTTCACTTATCCACAATGGAAACAGCTTCCTATGAATAATTATTTTAATTTGTCTTACCAGAAAGATTCTATACATGCTAGATTGCTAGTTCAATGCATGGAAAAGCCCTTTCCAATAATTTCAATCTTCTCATGCTTATGAATAATTGTCATTGCTTCGGAAACATGCCTCTTTACTGTATATATCCAATTACTATTTTTGAAAGTAATATGCATTGCAAAAATAATGTCATCTATTTAGTATTCATAGGCGAAAAATGTTAGCTTCTAAAATTATTTTATTAATATATGCCCTTTTTTATATCGACAAAATTAAATTATTATATATGGTTTACCACATTATTAATGCAATCTCAATGTCTAAGTTTATGTAACTTCCGTTAACCAAAATAGTCTTCAATATGTATTTTTAAGTTAGAAAGTTAATTCTCTTATATTTCAATGAACTAAACCAAAAATAAATAAAAAAGAATAATTCGCAAATGAGAAGACGTACCATTAGGATCTGAAGCAGATTAGACCAAACATGAGCACAGGCACAGCAATTCCAATAGGACATGCAAGAAGACATTGTTAATTAGCCTCTTCGTTATAGAAATCAAAACGAAACGAATCAAGTAAAAAATGGAATAAATTGAAATTTGAACAACAATATACTTCTTAGATATATATTTTTTTATTGAATTTTATCTATATATATTATTAGAAAATAGAAATTTCATTAAATAACACGAGTCCAATTTATACAATACATATATATATCCTAATTAAGGGGTTAAATTAATTGATTGTATAGGCTTACGTACCGTTCATCCAGTTGGTTTGAGGTTGAAAATGGAAAGCTGTTCTTTGCCAAGATAACATGGCATTTGTCCAATTATAAGAAGCTTTGTTTGAAAGATAAGGGTTTGACTTTGCTGAAACCCCCTCAGCAACCCCTCTAGGACGTAATGGCAGGGACTTAACATTGTTTTTCTGGTCCTTTTCTAAGGGTTCATGGTTTATGATGATGAGTGCAAGTGCAACCAATGACAAAATTAGGAAAACGATGGAGGCAATGGAAACAAGGGTACCCTTTTGTGCTCTCCTTCCAATTTCCCTATCACTTGGAGGATTCAGTAACGGACTTTGTGTAGCGTTCTCAACATCAGGTTTCATGGCTATCCCTAGCTGTGGTGGGTGTCCTAGTGTTAATCAGCAGAAATCCAAAAACTGAAACTTATATAGAGAGAGAGAGAGAGAGAGAGAAAACAAAGGAAATTTGTAATTGAAATATGGATATAGTAATAAATAATAAGGATGATATGGTTATGGAAAGTTTGATTGGTGGCTCCGATCGAATTGGAGGAAAGAGATCAAGAAAGAACCAAAGCGATGGATGGACAGGTACGCTTCTTTAATACGTGTACATATACATATAAATATATATTTGAAAAATAATATGAAATACTCTCTTTTTAATAATAATCTCTTTCTTTTCGACTTAAATCAATTCGTTCCATATCTTCAATGAAAGTGAATTTGCCTTTTTTTTTCTTCAATGAGAGCAATTTAAGTATTTTTCTTAATCTTTTATCTCTTTTTATTTATCTTTTTTATTTTGAAATTAAATTTTAATATTTGTGACAAATATATTTTGTAATTACAAAAAATTTATTACAATATAAATAATTTGTCATAAATTTAAAATATAATTTATATATTCAAAACTAAAACTAATTATTTATAACAAATTTTAATTATAATACAATATATATAGTTATTATTTATTAAAATTATAAATTTTTATGAATTCTATCATTAAATTAAAAAATAAAGTTATTAAATAAAATACAATATTTACTAAGACTTATCATCTTTAATAATTTTCTGCTTTAATTTGTTGCATTCCTCTAAGTATTTTATGGGAAAAATAGAATGACAGCTAGGATTTTCAAGAAAAAGAGTTGGCATTGGTAATTAAATTATACTAATATTACATATAAGTATAAATGAATATAGATATAAAACTTGCTCACCTGGTGCGCACAGTTGCATATAATGTTGATTTTGACCGTTGATCAAACAAAGGCTGCACGTAACTCCGTACTTAATCGAATTTTTCAATTTCTTTGACGGCTATATTGAGAATTAAAATAATACTATAATTATGTAGGTCAAATAAACCGTTGAGAAAAGTTTTTTAACCCATGAAAGGGATCCGTATTCCCCTTAATTTTTATATATTACCCTTAATATATTGTTGAGAAGGGTTTATTTAATCCATGAAGATGAAAGGGTCTGCATTCTCCTTAATATATATATATATAAACATTATTTTTATATAAGAATGAAAATGTTGAAACTTAACTTTTAAATTAAAATAAATAATTTAAATTTAAAGATTTTAAATAAAATTATCTTGTATTATCTTCATCGTAATTATTTATATTATTGTTGTTGTCACTATCATCATTAAAATTATTGTCACTATTACAACTATAAAAATTATTATTATCATCATTGTCACTACATCACTTTTATCATCACCATTGTTGCATCATTATTGTCATCCTTATTATTGTTGTTTCATAACTAATCAATTACCACCATTACTACTATCATTGTTGGTAATGACGGTTAAGAGTGGACAATAAAAATTGAATCAAATTGGTGGTGAATTGAACTGAGTTTGTAGTATAAAAAATTAAACTGAATTATTTTAAAGAATTAAATTGAACTCTATTATAAAAAATTAAATTATTTTTATTTTTATGTTTCTTCTTGATAAATTAGTTCGATAGTCCAACGACCTAGGCTTCAAAAAAAGTTATTCAAAAAAATTGTGTCAATTTTGTCAAACTCGACAAGTCAATCAGGCTATGTTGATCAACTAATTTTTTGACTTAAAATTCACCAAATTTGTTTCACTCAATTTATATATATATATATA